TCTGCATAGCTTAGATCCTCTCGGAATACGTATGCCCAATGTATTATGAGCTGCAGAGCTCCAGTTAACCTCAGAAGTATTTTCTACTAGAGTAGTCATGTGCTCATTTCACAGATTCACCTGGATTAGACCCTTGTTGATGTTCATACAAACCTAGTTCCTGCTATAGCCGTCTACTAGATATAGTTCTCCAAGTTCTAGCCAGATGTTTCATGAAGTAGATCCTCTCAATCTAGTTAGCTGCCAAGTTAAGTTGATGTTGCCACTAATACAAGGCACCAGGCTGCATTATATAGTAGACTTACTTGCACCTATCGATCTTACATCCTTCGTATTCAGGTTTTTCACTAGATCAGGCATTAACTGGCTTGACCGTTGAAATCTGTACTACTTCACCAAACTTAGAATTTCTACTATGCAGGTCCCTGCCTATAGATTCTATCAAGATTTATTCGTGTAACATAACTCAAGTATTGTATCACACATCCAATGTCTAATTGACATTGGAGCAACGTGATTTACAGGGTTGTAACCTCCAAAAACGAGCAGAGTTTACTGTAAATTAGGTACAAAGGTCTGAGTAATTATTTAAATTCGTCGATAGTAGGATTTGAATTCCAGATCTCTTGCATGGTGGTCTGACAACCTAAACACTACACTAAGATCACCAAACCTTATTTAAGCTTGGTTTTAATTTATTATTATTATTATTATTATTATTAATTAAAAGATCATGATTTTCTCTGAAGAAAAAAACAAAAACTAATACCTTCCATTTATCTTACAATTGATTTAGAAGATTCAAATAACTCATTATATAATAGTCAATTGGCAATTTTTATCTGCTCACAATAGTTGATCAAGACTTCTTCTTTAACTCATATGATCAATATAATAGCTATGATGGAAAATCCTGTTTTAAATAATAAGCCGAAGTTAGAAAAGGAATTCAAACTAATTCTGGTTTTACTTGTTAATAGCAGTCCTGACGAGAACCTCAGGCATTTAAAAAATATAAAAGAATACTATAAATTATTTATAGAATTAAATTTGGATTACTTAACTGTCAGAGCCCATGTTCCTGAACAATCTGCCTACAATCCTATAGAGCGTAGCATGTCTACTCTCTCAGGAAAGTTGGCAAGTATTGTTCTACCTATTGATAATTTTGGTTCATATCTTGATTCTAATAGCATTATTGAGAATATAAACCTTGCAAAGCAAAATTTTTATTATGCTAGTAAAAAACTATGTGATATTTGACAGCAAGACTATATTCATGGTAAAGAAGTAATTGTTAAATATGTTGATGAACAAATTGACACTTTTAATAAAGTTTCAGATATATCTTAGGGCTGAATAGAAAATCATTACCAAATATATCGATACTCTTTAGACATTCGAAAATATAATGATATCAATTGTTGTTCTACATGAAGAGCTGAAGAAGTAGCTACTTTGTTAGCTAAGAACAATAGATTTTTGTCACTATCTATCAAAGGCTAAGATGGCTATTTTCTTAATTCCATCCATATACTTCAGTATATGGACAAATTAAAAATTCTAGGTTTTGATCAATATTGTCTCTCGATTTCTTCTGAATTCTATTTAAAATTAGTCTGCTCTACCTGTTATCAGTATTTTCCCACTATAGCCTTTCTTTCTTAGCATAAAAAATTTAAACACTTTCCTCTTACTCACAAACATGAAAAGTCTATGACTCATGCAGCAACAGACGATTGTTTTCCTAGCTCTTTTTCAAATGAAGTAGAATTGTTAGATATTTTAATTTTATATTTTTCTAATAGTGAATAATATAATATGACGATCATGTAAATTTTGTAAAATTGTATTACAAGTAAACCTTATAAATTTGTCCTGTTCATATGGGCTGATTCAAGGAATTGCTGATATCTCTTGATCTACTAGTCCGTTTTGGATGATTTAACTACCAAAATGTTCGTCT